GTCCTGAGTAGAGTCTTTCTTACCATGCTTTAACAAATATTATGGAATAATTTTTTCTTTCACAGATGCTCAGTAAGATCCTTTAATGGGATTTGCCTGCACAAAGTGTGAAAAGTGTAGGGCATCATTCTCTAGCTCTGCTGTCTACCCATAGATGCAAAGGCAGAAAATGAATCTGAAATGGTTAATCTCTCAGTCTCTGTTTGTGCCCCATCCTTTCTCACATAGTGTTATACGTGTACATATACACGTATAACAAAAACATGTCTTCTATTTACAATTAGGCCGTCTAATGTCAAACCCTCCATCATACCTGATGCCTTTAATTATCCACCTTGTTGAAAGTGCCCATTGCATTAGACTTTAGCTATCAGCCCCAACAGGGTGTGGTATGGCTCGACTGCTTACTCTGTGCTTCCATAGTAACTTGCATGTTCCTTTCTGACTGCCTTCCTCACAGTGGTAGCAATGGTTGCAGCAAAAACAGGTACTTCATATGGGTAATAAAAGGGAGGAATTATGCCTCATTCACCTTTGTATTTCCATAATATAGCTTAGAGTCTGGGTTATGACAGTTGTTTAGTATTGATTGAGTAAATGGATAATAGAGGATATCAAAAGCCCTTTCTATATTCCTTACCTCAACCATGCTAAGTATTGTATTACAGTCTCTCATTGGGGAGAAATCTGCCTTTAAGGTAATTATTTTCTTTGGTTCTAATTGTTTGGATTTCTCTAGAACTACTGCCTACTTAAACAGTAGAACAAGAAGGACTATATATATTAATTCATTTAACAAATACATCTGTGCCCCTGCTATATGCTTTGCCCTCTGCTAGTATAATACATGTTGTAAGTCCTTAATGTCTATTTGGATCAAGGAATTCATCATGAGAAATTCATATGTGAGATCCACACCAAAGAAGATTGTAAACCTCACTGCTTAATTCACCCTGCATCTTATTCAGCATCAGAATCCACTACAACAAGGCCAGGAGCAGTGACTCATGCCTGTAATCCCAGCACTTTGGGAGACCAAGACAGGTAGATCACCTGAGGTCAGTTTAAGGCCAGCCTAGCCAACATGGTGAAACCCCATCTCTGCAAAAATACAAAAATTAGCCAGGCATGATGGTAGGTACCTGTAATCCCAGCTACTGAGGAGGCTGAAGTGGGAGAATCACTTGAACCCAGGAGGCGGAGGTTGCAGTGAGCCAAGATCATGCCATTGCAGTCCAGCCTGGGTGACAGAGCAAGACTCAAAAAAGCTTTTAAAAATCCACCACAGCAGATGCCTGTGATCCTGTCCACAGGCAACTCAACTTTTATTTTAATACATCAATATTTCAATGGGATTCAAGTTTAAGAACAATTCTTTTCCTCACCTTCTCCTGTAACCCTTTGAATATATCTCAGCCTCAGGCAATAATGTCTAAAATTTTAAACAAGGATTTATCGTTTATAAAAGTAGTCCTGCAGATAATCTCAATTAGTCCTCATAACAACTCTGTAAGGTAAGAGGGATTCTATTGATTTAAAGCCACCTTGTCCTATTTTTGTGTTCCTGGTCTTTAAGGCCAATCATGAATTTTGGTGAAGTATAGCTTCGTTCTCTATACTGTTCTAGGACTGGTTAAGTATCAGTAGATTGCCAGGTTCTCAACATTGGCCAGCTTCCAAGATTGTCCAGAATTTATTTCTGGCAGCATTCAGTAAATTATAAATGTCAATTTAATTTCCCTTACCATCTTTATGGCCCTGATCCCATTTTTGAATTGGGCCAACTGATATCACTCATCTCTACTGTAAAAAAATTAAAATATAGTACTTAGTGAATAATGTTCAGTGCAATGATACAATTCTTGTGGGGTTTTTATTCTTTTAAATATATATACTAAAGAAAAGGAATATGTACACACATTTTATTGAATAGTTATTTTTAAAGCAAGAGCAAAACATGAAGAGAGGTTTGTGTAAAAGAGCTCCCAAAGTGAAAGCAAAAGGGCAGGATGTGTAGAAGAAAGAATTGAAAACACAGACCTGTCGAATTCCACTGAGGAATCAAGGGAACCGATTAAATGTGGTGAGTAGAAAGAACTCTTTCTTCCTATACATAATGCCCTCATACTGACCCCATCCTGACTGAAGTTTAATATGCTTTATATCTACCAATTCTGGGAAATATTTCCATCACTTTTGAACTAGGAGTCAACTGTGGTTTAAAAAAAAAATTAGACACCGTGATTTTGAATGGATTAAGATGGCATTGGACTGTGTCGTGCCCTGAACAGACTTATCATCACTCACTGAGAGATGACTCCCTTGTGTGATGCTGAGCTCCTGTAGTTTCTATGTGGAGATGGCATGCTCTTACAAAGGCCACTGAAGTCATTTGTAGATGTACTGTTACCTGTAATGGTCAAGTTTAACCATCTGCTTCAAACTCAATTCACAGCCCTATAGCTAAAATTGAGAATCGCCCTTTCAGGTTGGAGTGGCTGGTTAGTACCCTAGAAAGATATAAAACATGTGGTCATATAACTGATAAAAAGGGTCAAATGGCCTTTCAAAATGATCCATTTCCTTGGCTTTACTGACTGTTCAAAACTGCCTTTTGTGCAGACAGTATAGAAAGAAATGAAAGTCTAGCCATTCATATTTTACCAGTTACTCTACACATCCCTAAAAGTTGACTTCATGGGGTTTAGATTCCTGTGGGGAAGAAGCCATATTGTCTTTCCAAAACTCATAGGCATCTCATGCAGACAAAACCCCCTCCACACTCATCATGTGGAAACTCAACCTGGTGCACTGTACTACCTGTCAGAAATGTAACTTGTATAGATGTGTAAGACCCTGAGGTGGACTCCAAGAAGCTAATGAAGCTTAAGCTTTAGTATCTTAAAGCCCTGAACTTGATTTCTTATTTGTAATGTTGTAGAAAACTTCAGGTTCCATACAACCTGAACCCACCAAGAACAAAGTCACTAGGGCAACCAGGTGGATATTCTTATCTATAGTAAGCCTCACAGCCCATAGTTCAAGTTCCTCTTTCAGAGACATTTACACAAAGGCTGAGAGAGACAGAGATAGAGTCTTCTTGAAGTTTCTGCTCTCATCTGTGATTCCATGGCCTGAAGAGCTATACCCATGATCCTTCTCAATTGTGGCTTAATCGGGACCCAGAAACCGTCTCTGAAAGACGCTAGTTAAGGAAATAGAACCTAGGCCTTTTATTCTGCAGTTAGCAGTAAAGATGTTCTCAAATTAGCATGTGGGATCCCAAAAGATAAACTTCCATTATCGCTACCTTTCATTTGCTAACATGACAAGTAGAGCATGAATACTTGAATTAAGAATGTCTTCAGGCTGGGCACAGCACTGTAATATTAGTACTTTGGGAGGCCAAGGCAGGTGGATCACCTGAGGTCAGGAGTTTGAGACCAGCCTGGCTAACATGGTGAAACCTCATCTCTACTAAAAAAATACAAAATTAGCTGGGTGTGGTGGTTCATGCCTGTAATTCCAGCTACTCTGGAGGCTGAGGCAGGAGAATCACTTGTACCTGGGAGACGGAGGTTGCAGTGAGCTGAGATTGCACCACTGCATCCCAGCCTGGGCAACAAGAGTGAAACTGCATCTCAAAAAAAAAAAAAGTCTTCAAAGGTAGCATCATTTCATTCTTATTCTTTTAATTGTGAGGTGCCAACGTGCCCTTTTCTTCTTCTTAAGAAGTTAATTATTCATAGTAGCTTATTAAATTCAAAAACTGCATAATCAACTGCAAATTTTTTAAACATGGCTGTAAGTTCCTATCTACCTTCAGATACATAAAATAAGCAAAAATTGTTTTGATTTTCAAAGAAGAGGTGTTCTCTCTGAATTTAAAGTCTGCAAAAGCCAAGGAGATTTTCAAATTATTTTAAAGACCCCTTGTGTGAAATTTGCAATACATTTTTGAAATATGCCGCTGTCACAGCTGCCGTCTGATGAGGCTTGGGTTCCAATCTGTGCCTCTCCAGCAGTCTGTGCTACCATCGCTGCCAGGTGGCATCAGCTCCCGCGCAGCATCCTCCTCCTGTCTGCCATGAGGGAATAAAGCCGCATCTCCCTGGGAAGCTCCCACTGGTGACTTGGAAGAAATCTGTCTGCAGAAAAGAGATGGCAAGCATACTTGGAAATTTGAATTATTGCTGTAATCAGCACATTCCTTTCCCCCTTGTATTGAACCTTTGACATTGAAACAGTTTGCTTATACGTGGTTACAATATTTGGGTTGACTGAAATATAGATAGTTATAGTTAGTTGTTTGTGGCTTTGCAGGAAGCACAAAATATTTGCCTGTAAATTTAATGAAAAGGAAATTAGCAAATTGGTACTCAAGTAAGTCACCTTAAAACTTTGGTAATTACCGATTTATTATTTATTTTAAGAAAGGACCGTTAGAAGTGTATATTTTAATTGGGCTGAGCCTAAAATTTAAAAAAACAAAAACAAAAAAATCTTAGAAAACATCTTGGTTGCTCTAAAGAAAAGTAGATAATCCTTGATTTAAGGCTAAGTGTTCCCATAAAGAAAAACAGAAAAGGGAAGAAAAATGCTGAGAGCATCTGTACGCTTGGGCCTGCATCTTTTGTACTCCAAGGACAATTGCAGTAATTGTGCTGATGAAAGAGAATTTATGGATATAAGTCACTTGTGCCAATATAGCTCTGGCATATAGCTGTGGGTGCAATTGGTGACTACAAAATCAGCCATTTGCAAGAAGACTTTTTTTCACCTTCAAAAGCTCCTCAAAGGTTTTCCATTAATCCTTCACTATTAAATAATGCATATCTTACTTTTTTCTTCTTAGACCATTGGAAAGGCATCGGCGAGATTCCCGATCAATTTATACCCCAACATTGTATGACATTAAGGAAGAAATTTTCAATCACTTCAAAATTGATTTCCTAAGCAGCCAACTTGCTTGTACTATTATGGTAAGAATTTATAAAGCAAATCTAATCACCTTCTACCTATAAAAGTGTGACTTAAAATCAACTTGCTGTCTAGTCACAATATGTGGTCATTAGAGAAATGCCAGCAAAAATAGCTCTTTGGAAGAAAGATTATGCAGCCACATCATAAAGTCATTTTCCTACCATTGGTTCTGCATCAACTCTCCCAAATAAGCACTATTTTACATTTCTTAAATATTTAATTTGTGTAATCTGAGCACTTTTTGTACATGGTGGAGAACAAAATTAACATAAGTGCAGGATAAAGTAAAATAATTGATTACGATTTCCAAGGCTGTGCTTCCATTTTAGTTTTTAGATCTCTTACATACAAATATTCTTCAACATACACAATACACTTAACTCATGTAACTAATTTTATTTTTCAGAGCTAGGAGCTGGGGAGGCAAGTGAGATGCCTAAGGCACAAAACTTAAGGAGGTAGACGTTTTTGCGGTCCTATCTGTACACTTATGCTTTGCATCTGAAATGCCTCACCTGCCTCACCATTATCCCAGCACTCCTGCTCCAGTCCCACGGGAGTAATAGCCAATCTACCAACTTCATATTCAGATAAATGTTATTGTCCAATCAGAAGACATAGTTGCTTCCTAGCTCTTCATCCACCGGAAAGATAATAATAATTGATGGCTCTCTTTGCAGATTCTAATTCCCAACTAAGAATTATAGAAAAAAAAATCTCTATTTTATGTTGACAGAAATTTCATGTCATTTTGCTAATACAAATTTCTTCTTAATTTTTGCATAGAAGGATCCTGAGTGCATACTATTATGTCACCTGTTTTTCTAATGACTTGCGGTCATCTATGGCTATGCCAAAAACTGAAACTTAGACCACAAGATTAATGGCAACTTTTCTCCATCACCGATTGTGACTAAAACAAATTATAATATTATGATTTTCAAAGCCCTCTGCACTGTATTTTGGTCTTCATTGTTGTTTCTGTTTTGCTTTTTTGAGTCATGGCCTCACTCTGTCACCCAGACTGGGGTGCAGTGCCATGACCACGGCTCACTGCAGCCTCAAGGCTCCCGGGCTAAAGTAATCCCCTCACCTCAATCTCCCAAGTCCCCTCACACTGCAGGAGTACATCGCAACACCTGGCTAATGTTTTTCAATTTTTTCAAAGCACTCCACATTATTTCAGCTTTTTAAATTGATTCATATTTATGCCTTACATTTAATGCTGAAATATACTTTCTAAAACTTATTCCTACCACTGTATTAATTCAGGCAAGTGGCAATCTGGCACTTTTTGTGCAAGAATACAGTCTGAATAGGGATGAGTCTATGAAACAATAAAGTATTTTGCTGTAAGAACACATTAAGTAGTTTTGAGAGAATTTAGGAAACACAACTAAATCCCAAAATAATGGTTTTTTTTTAAATTCTCTATTGCATTTTAGGTTTTGGGGTACATGTGCAGAACATGCAAGACAGTTGCATAGGTACACACATGGCAGTGTGTTTTGCTTCCTTTCTCCCCTTCACCCACATTTGGCATTTCTCTCCAGGCTATCCCTCCCCAGCTCCCCCTCCCGCTGGCCCTCCCCTTTTCCCCCAAACAGACCCCAGTGTTTAGTACTCCCCTCCCTGTGTCCACGTGTTCTCATTTTTCATCACCCGCCTATGAGTGAGAATATGAGGTATTTCATTTTCTGTTCTTGTGTCAGTTTGCTGAGAATGATGTTCTCCAGATTCATCCATGTCCCTACAAACGACACAAACTCATCATTTCTGATTGCTGCATAATATTCCATGGTGTATATGTGCCACATTTTCCCAGTCCAGTCTATCATCAGTGGGCATTTGGGTTGATTCCAGGTCTTTGCTATTGTAAACAGTGCTGCAATGAACATTCGTGTGCATGTGTCCTTATAGTAGAACGATTTATAGTCCTTTGGATATATACCCAGTAATGGGATTGCTGGGTCAAATGGAATTTCTATTTCTAAGGCCTTGAAGAATCGCCACACTGCCTTCCACAATGGTTGAACTAATTTACACTCCCAACAGTGTAAAACTGTTCCTTTTTCTCCACATCCTCTCAAGCAACCAGTACTATATTGAATAGGAGTGGTGAAAGAGGGCATCCTTGTCTAGTGCTGGATTTCAAAGGGAATGCTTCCAGTTTTTGCCCATTCAGTATGATATTGGCTGTTGGTCTGTCATAAATAGCTTTTATTACTTTGAGATACGTTCCATCGATACCGAGTTTATTGAGGGTTTTTAGCATAAAGGGCTGTTGAATTTTGTCGAATGCCTTCTCTGCATCAATTGAGATAATCATGTGGTTTTTGTTTTTTGTTCTATTTATGTGGTGAATTACGTTTATAGACTTGTGTATGTTGAACCAGCCTTGCATCCTCGGGATGAATCCTACTTGATCATGATGGATAAGTTTTTTGTTTTGCTGTTGCAATCTGCTTGCCAATATTTTATTGAAGATTTTTGCATCTATGTTCACCATGGATATTGGCCTGAAGTTTTCTTTTCTCGTTGGGTCTCTGCCGGGTTTTGGTATCAGGATGATATTGGTCTCCTAAAATGATTTGGGAAGGATTCCCTCTTTTTGGATTATTTGGAATCGTTTCAGAAGGAATGGTACCAGCTCCTCTTTGTGTGTCTGGTAGAATTCGGCTGTGAACCCACCTGGACCTGGGCTTTTTTTGTATGGTAGCCTCTTAATTTCTGCCTCGACTTCTGACCTTGTTATTGGTCTATTCATAGTTTCAGCTTCCTCCTGGTTTAGGCTTGGGAGGACACAGGAGTCCAGGAATTTATCCATTTCTTCCAGGTTTACTAGTTGATGTGCATAGAGTTGTTTGTCATATTCTCTGATGATGGTTTGAATTTCTGTGGAATCTGTGGTGATTTCCCCTTTATCATTTTTTATTGCATCTATTTGGTTGTTCTCTCTTTTCTTTTTAATCAATCTGGCTAGTGGTCTGTCTATTTTGTTGATCTTTTCAAAAAACCAGCTCTTGGATTTATTGATTTTTTGAAGGGATTTTCGTGTCTCTATCTCCTTCAGTTCAGCTCTGATCTTAGTTATTTCTTGTCTTCTGCTGGGTTTTGAGTTTTTTTGATCTTGTTCCTCTAGCTCTTTCAATTTTGACGATAGGGTGTCAATTTTGGATCTCTCCATTCTCCTCATATGGGCACTTATTGCTATATATTTTCCTCTAGAGACTGCTTTAAATGTGTCCCAGAGATTCTGGCATGTTGTGTCTTCGTTCTCATTGGTTTCGAAGAACTTCTTTATTTCTGCCTTCATTTCATTGTTTATCCAGTCAACATTCAAGAGCCAGTTGTTCAGTTTCCATGAAGCTGTGCGGTTCTGGGTTGGTTTCTGTATTCTGAGTTCTAACTTGATTGCACTATGGTCTGAGAGACTGTTTGTTATGATTTCCATTGTTTTGCACTTGCTGAGGAGTGCTTTACTTCCAATTATGTGGTCAATTTTAGAGTAGGTGTGATGTGGTGCTGAGAAGAATGTATATTCTGTGGATTTGGGGTGGAGAGTTCTGTAAATGTCTATCAGGTTTGCTTGCTCCAGGTCTGAGTTCAAACCCTGGATATCCTTGTTGATTTTCTGTCTGGTTGATCTGTCTAATATTGACAGTGGAGTGTTAAAGTCTCCCACTATTATTGTGTGGGAGTCTACGTCTCTTTGTAAGTCATTAAGAACTTGCCTTATGTATCTGGGTGCTCCTGTATTGGGTCCATATATGTTTAGGATCATTAGCTCTTCTTGTTGTATCGATCCTTTTTCCATTATGTAATGGCCTTCTTTGTTTCTTTTGATCTTTGTTGCTTTCAAGTCTATTTTATCAGAGATGAGAACTGCAACTCCTGCTTTTTTTTTTTTTTTTTTTTTTTGCTCTCCATTTGCTTGGTAAATCGTCCTCCATCCCTTTATTTTGAGCCTTTGTGTATCCTTGCATGTGAGATGGGTTTCCTGGATACAGCACACTGATGGGTTTTGGATTTTTATCCAATTTGCCAGTCTGTGTCTTTTGCTTGGTGCATTTAGTCCATTTACATTTAGGGTTAATATTGTTATGTGTGAATTTGATACTGCCATTTTGATGCTAGCTGGCTGTTTTGCCCATTCGTTGTTGTAGATTCTTCATTATGTTGATGCTCTTTAGCATTTAGTGTGATTTTGGAATGGCTGGTACTAGTTGTTCCTTTCTATGTGTAGTGCCTCTTTCAGGAGCTCTTGTAAAGCAGGCCTGGTGGTGACAAAATCTCTGAGTACTTGCTTGTTCACAAAGGATTTTATTTTTCCTTCACTTCTGAAGCTCAGTTTGGCTGGATATGAAATTCTGGGTTAAAAGTTCTTTTCTTTAAGGATGTTGAATATTGGCCCCCACTCTCTTCTGGCTTGTAGTGTTTCTGCCGAGAGATCTGCTGTGAGTCTGATGGGCTTCCCTTTGTGGGTGACCCAACCTTTCTCTCTGGCTGCCCTTAGTATTTTCTCCTTTATTTCAACCTTGTTGAATCTGACAATTTGTCCCTTGGGGTTGCTCTTCTTGCGGAATATCTTTGTGGTGTTCTCTGTATTTCCTGCATTTGAGTGTTGGCCTGTCTTGCTAGGTGGGGGAAATTTTCCTGGATGATGTCCTGAAGAGTATTTTCCAGCTTGGATTCATTCTCTTCGTCACATTCTGGTACACCTATCAAACATAGGTTAGGTCTCTTCACATAGTCCCGCATTTCTTGGAGACTTTGTTCATTCCTTTTTGCGCTTTTTTCTCTGATCTTGGTTTCTCATTTTATTTCATTGAGTTGATATTCGACTTCCGATATTCTTTCTTCTGCTTGGTCAATTCAGCTGTTGAAACTTGTGCATGCTTCGCGAAGTTCTCGTATTGTGTTTTTCAGCTCCTTTAATTCATTAATATTCCTCTCTAAGGTATCCATTCTTGTTATCATTTCCTCAAATCTTTTTTCAAGGTTCTTAGTTTCTTTGCATTGATTTAAAACATGTTCTTTTAGCTCACAAAAGTTTCTCATTATCCACCTTCTGAAGTCTAATTCCATCATTTCATCACAGTCATTCTCCGTCCAGCTTTGTTCCCTTGCTGGTGAGGAGTTTTGGTTTTTTGTAGGAGGCGAGGTGCTCTGGTTTCGGGTGTTTTTTTCCTGTTTGCGCTAGTTTCCTTCCATCTTTGTGGATTTATCCACCTGTCGTCTGTGTAGTTGCTGACTTTTCGATTGGGTCTCTGAGTGGACGCCCAGATTGTTGATGATGAAGTATTTCTGTTACTTGGTTTTCCTTCTACCAGTCTAGCCCCACCACTGTACGACTGCTGAGGTCCACTCCAGGCCCTGCTTGTCTGGGGTGCACCTATAGCAGCTGTGGAACAGTGAGGGATACTACCAGTTTCTTTTTCTGCTATCTTTGTCCCTAAATGATGCCTGCCAAATGTCAATCTTCTGGATATAGAGGGGTCAGGGAGCTGCTTGAGGAGACAGTCTGTACTTTATAGGAGCTCAAGTGCTGATCTGTGAGCCCTGTTGTTCATTCAGGGCTGTTAGGCTGCTACGTTTAATTCTGCTGCAACAGAACTCATTTAAAAAACCCTTTTTTTCCTCAGATGCTCTGTCTCGGGGGCGTTGGGGCTTTCTTTGTGAGTGTCCGTTGTGCTGTCCTGCCCAGCTAGGAGGCAGTCTAGTCACTATTTGTCTGCCGAGGCTCCGCCCTGCTGGTGTGAGGTTCGCCCTACTGCTGCAGGCTCTGCCCTTCTGCTGCGGTCTCTGCCCTGCTGCCACGAGCTACGCCCTGCGGTGGAGTCTCTCTGTTGTAGTGGGTTGCCTCGGCAACGGCAGGCTGCATCAGCAATGGGCATGTACCTCAGTAGGGGCGGATTGCCTCGGTAATGGTGGTCGCCCCTCCCCCATGGAGCTGTATGGTACTGGGTTCAGCTGTGTCCTAAGGGAACCTCTCCACCGGGAGCGTTTGGAATCACCATTTTGTTTGTCCCACTGCACTACCCCAAACGCTGCTTTCCTGGAATCTCCTGGGCTGGCTCACTGTCCAAGTTCCATTCAGTCTCAAGTTCAGCCCTCTCAAGTCTCAGATTGCCGGTTCAACAGGGCACCCGGACCAGTGTGCTTTGTGTGGAGTACTGTGTAGTGCCACTGCGCTACAGCGCCGGCCACCGGCCGCACCGGCTGTTGATTGCACCAGCCAAAACCTCTGCCTGGCATCCCGCATCTCTTTTATACCTGGGAATTTCCCCATTCTGTGGGCAACAAAGATCCATGTGGAAATGCTGCCCTGACTCACTCCCTCCGCGTATTCACCAGAGCTTCAATCCTGGGTTGTTCTCACTGCGCCATCTTGAGTCCGCCCCCAAAATAATGGATTTTTATTTCTTCTTTGAGACAGAGTCACACTCTGGCTCCCAGGCTGGAGCGCACTGATGTGATATCGGCTCACTCTCACCTCCGCCTCTGAGGTTCAAGTGATTCTCCTGCCTCAGCCTCCTGAATAGCTGGGATTATAGGCATGCAGAATCATGCCTGGCTAATTTTGTGGTTTTAGTAGAGATGGGGTTGAACCATGTTGGCCAGGCTGGTCTTAAACTCCTGACCTCAGGAAATGCACCAGCCTCAGCCTCCCAAATTGCTGGGATTATAGGCGTGAACCATCATGCCCAGTCTGTATTTTATTTTAATAATACTTATCAAATTATGGTCTGAAAACTTTTTGGTAAAAAGGTCTAGGAGGAACCTCTGGCAATTGCTTCCATAATAAGTCATCATTGCTTTTCAATCAAAGATTACAAATATGTTGTGCGATCTTTGCATTATTTCTTAGTAAGGAATTCTGTGTTTCTGAAGCATTTCAAAAAGACTACATTGGGACTAATGGGCTATTTTCCCATGGAGAAGAATTTAGAACTGAAGTTCAGAAGAGTGGACCTGAAAACCTGCCCAGAGAGCTTGTCCATCTCTACTTTCTAAAGATCTTTGCCTCCAATTATCTGTCCTTTTCTGCAGAACCCACCTGGCTAACCTTTCCTCTTACTACATTATATTCTTCGTTAGCATGGTTAGTGAATGCACTACAATAATAGCACATGACATTCATTCTTCAGTGACTGTGGCTTGAGTGGTTAGTGGTGTCAAGAAGTTGACAATTACAGCCAGGATTTCTGGTTAGGGATTGGGCAAAAGTGGGCCTCTCCACAATCACAGGGTTGTGTTAATGCTCCTGATACCTGCAAGGTTGCAGAGAAGCCAGTAAAAATATCTGTATTCCTGACTCCCAGACCTCACCTCAGGCAGAAGCTTCTGGAAGTTCCTCAGCAGAAGCCTGGGCTCTCTGGAGACCATGGCGGACACCTAAAAATACAGTGAGGACTATTGATCAAAGAGATGAACAAGCCCTGATAGCAAATCCAACGGAAACCTCACCACTTTTTTTTTTTTTTTCTGAAGACCTTTTCAAACCATTCCCTATTCACTGAGTAGAAAGCAATAAATTAGAGCAGCAGGCTCAGAACCTGGAAGGCTGTGGCGGACAGGGTTAGGCTGAGTTATTGTTTTCTGCAACCCTCCTGCCTGCCCAGGAGTCATACATAATGGAGAAGGAGGTAAATAAGAATTAAATACCTGAAGTCTCTTTTTTCTTCTGTCCTTTGATTACACCACTATTTTATTTATGATTCCCCAAAGGGAAGGAAACTTCCCTTATGTGCCACTGCTTCTGTAAATTGTTAAAGAATCACAAAAATGAAATACACCACAGAAGGTTTTTCTCTATTACCTCTTACCTGCCGTACTGACCCTTTAGAAGTGATGGTTTACCCACACATGTTCCTACTCGCCTCTGCCATAGTCACCCTATGCCCATCACCCCCGACAACAGCTGGCTATAATCTCGTTGTATCTTATTTGCCAGTGGAGATGAAACATCTTAAGTCCGCACGGAGCTTGGTGTCGTGTTCACTAGCAGCGTCCAGGTTCTGCTTTATATAATACTGTTTTGCATCTCAGGGAGAGTGTGCGTGGCACACGGTACACATTCTTTGTTTCATCTCCGCATGAGAATTGAATGCACAAAAACATGTGGGAGCAGGGAATGGGGAACCGCAAACAGCTCAGGTCTGGTTTGGTTTTCAATACTATTCTCAATAGTTTCATGGTGGATGCGAAGTAGGAAAGGTTTGTGTGAATTCTTCGTGTAGTCTCTCAAGATGTCACTTTCCTTTGCCCAAATAGAATACAAATGAGAGTACAGGGCTCTCTCGTTCTGAATGCTTTTGGAAGTTTCTAGCATTTGGTTATTTCCTGTAAACCAAATTTCAGGATTTTTGTTTCATACCATTTACCCCTACCTCCAGGAAATTTAAGAGATTGGAGATACAGGTTCTTCTTGCATGTTATCTTTCAGCTAGAGGAAATGCTTTCTTAATAGAAAGGATTTGGAGTGTGAATAACAGGTTAGATGATGTCAAGGAAGAGACCAGCATGATACCAGAATTGAAAGTCTTTGTGAAATAATTCTCCACAGATTCATGGGGGGGAAATGCAATGGAAAATAAAATCTCCCACACATGGCAGGCAGGATTCTTTAAGGGCTTAAGGTAACCAAATATTCTCATTTTCTACCCTTTGAGACTTATTGTGTATGCGACTCTATCAAACAAGAATAAGGCGCACTTGAGGGAGAAATAAAGCCCAAAATGGAGGATGTGTTACACTGAAATTGCTTTAAGGAGTGGTTTATTCACGGGAACACAGCTATATGAACTCTGGGTCAGAGAAATCAACAGTGGGCAAACTTGCCCACATTCATTCACTGAGTTCACATCAAGCTCCGCAGTTTGCCCTACACGAAGCCTTGGAGTCTTTGCCCCTCCATGAGTCTCAGCTCTGTGTGCCCCCATAGTGACTGCACTGTATTTTTTTCCACAGAAACTCTTTATTTTATACTATGTACACTATATATCTATTCATATCATATATATATATATATATATATATATATATATATATACACACACACACAAACGTATTAGCTTTGCAAAGCCAAATCATATTCTGTATAAGCAATTTAAGGGGATTTCAAGAGCGCTTTTGGCTTTACTCAATTTTCATTTTAAATACTGACTTTACAAGTTAACTTCCATGTGTGATCACTGTACTAATTGTTTTGATTAATTATTAAAAATTACCACAACTGCAGTAACTGAAAGGCCTTTTGCATTCATGCAAAGTTTGCTAGTGATGCTTGAAGAATCACAGAAAATGCAGAGATGCCAGAAGAGAGAGAAACAGAAAAATGAACCAATTTTCTAAAGAAAGATAAAAATATGTTCTGGAAATTAAAAGCCATCAAATTAATTTGACATCAATATCTAGAAACAAAATACAATTTTAAGATATTTGAATAATTCAGAGACATTTGGGAAATATAATTAGCCAACATAATTGTACTAAGAATAATTCATAAAAAACAAAGCTAATTTAATTTTTTAACCATACTTTCACTTGTTTTTTTAAGCAAAAGTCATAGAGATGGTATATCTTAATTTTGTTCTATTCTAATAAACTAAGTGGAGAATAACATTAATTTATGAATTGCATCAAATTAGTGGGAACTTTCAGTGACGTCCTTTACAATTTTGCACTTAGTAGACCTTGCCATGGATTAAATATTTGTCACCTCCAAAACTCATGTTGAAATTTAATCCTGAAGGTGGCAATATTGAGAGGTATGGCTTTTAAGTGTTATTTGGGTCATGCACTAACCCATGCATGGATTACTGGATTCATGGGTTATCATGGCAGTGGAACTGGTGGCGCTATAAGAAGGAGAAAAGAGACCTGAGTTAGCACACTTGGCCTCCTTACCATGTGATGTCCTCTGCTGCCTCAGTACTCTTCAGAGGATCCCCACCAGCAAGTAGGTCCTCAACAGACGTGGCCCCTTAACTTTGCACAAGTGAGCATCCATAACTGTAAGAAATAAATATTGTTTCTTTATAAATTTCCCAATTTTAAGTATTCTGTTATAAGAAACAGGAAATTGATAATGACAGTCCCATCTTGTTCAATATTTCTCTTTAACATCTTGGATGAAAAGCATAGAACGATTATACTTTGTTTGTGAATTATAAAAAGCTGAACAGGAGAGCAAATACAGACAATTAGTATCACCCACCACCCCCCCCCACACACACACACAAATAATTAAAATTCAAGAGAAAACCTAACAAAACTTTATTTAATCAGGAGAAACAAAAACTCTTCACTAAGGTGCAAAATTTAACTTTCCATGCACAGAATTAAGTAGATCCATTTTGAAAACATATCTTGTGGAAAAAAACTGTACTTTTTGTTGACTGAATGTGTAACAGGAGCCAATCATGTGTTGTATCTACCAAAAGACACCTGCAATCTTTGGTTACATTTTCAGTCCCCAAGATAACGGGAGGTTATCTTCCCATACTAGTGACCACATGTAGAGTATCGTATTGACTTAAGGGGGATGCATCTTAAATCTAATCCATTTTTAACAATGACAGCTTTTCAAATATTTGAAGACAGCTTTCAAGCTGCCTTTTCCAAGCTAAGCATCCCTCTTCCCAATAGAACAAGTTGTTGTGTCACCAGGACAATTCCTTGGTAATGACACTGCCCTCTACACATTTGTCAGCAACTCTCTGTAGTTGTATCATACAACTGAATGGGATGAACAGGATTGAACAGGATGTTCCAGATGTAGAATGACTAGCAGAGAAGAGAATAGGACCCTCACTTGCCCTGTGCAAGTTATTCTTCTATCAATCAAATCTAAAATTACAGTTCAGCTTCATTATACATGCTTTTAATTTATACTAATTACACTCTGTGTTTCAGAAAAAATAAACTTAAAAGAATACTGCCCACTCAGTGAACACAAGTTCCAGAGTAAACATGAAAGGAGCAAAGTGAATAGGGCATTCACATTTCATAAATTTAACACCTTTTTTTGATGCGGCCTAAGTGTCACTCAATAGTGACACTTAGAGACCTGTTTAGCCCTACCTCTAAATATACTGCTGGCCTTATGGGAAATTTTAGATTCTCAAGATACCTGACTTGATGAGAATTTTGTCTTTTTGTGATTTTTGATAACCACGTGAGATGCAAATCTTCTGTATTTTTTTCTTTTTGGCAGTCACGTCACTTTATTGAATTTATGGCCTTTTATTTTATTTTATTTTATTTTTTTGAGACAGAGTCTCACTCTGTCACCCATGCTGGAGTGCAATAGCATGATACAGGCTTGCTGCAACCTCCGCTTCCCAGGTTCACCAGATTCTCTCCTACCTCAGTCTCTCAAGCTGGGATTATAGGTGCACACCACTACACTCAGTTAATTTTTGTGTTTTTAGTAGAGACAGGGTCTCACCATGTTGACCAGGCTGGTCTCAAACTCCTGACCTCAAATAATCTACCCACCTTAGCCTCGCAAAGTGCTGGAATTACAGGCGTGAGTCCCTGCACCTGGCCTATAGTCAATTTTTAACAACACTCTTTTCATACAAATATATTTGTATGAAAATGTAAATCTTTCTGCTCTTACACTTTTAGAGTTGTTTTGTTTTGCTTGAGCCTAAGTACAGGATTTTATATTTATTCCTATTACATTTCTTCCTATTATATATGACTCATTATTCCATATTAATGATTTAGGGGATCGAATTGCTATTAATATTATACTCAGCCTTGTGTCATCTAGTTTCCATAATAAACCAAAGCCTACACCCTCCCTCTTGGTTGCCATTGCTGGTTCATTAAGACCTTTGTACATGTAACAAACCTGCACGTGCATCCCTGAATCTAAAATAAAAGTTGAAAAGGACTTTTGCATGAATTACTATATTTCACTGATTCTAAAGTGAATATCTCTTTCACATTTTGCGTATTTAAAATTATGGCTTAAAATCAGTGGAATCTTCAAGAGAATGAGAAGACAAGCCATAGAGTAGGAGAAAATGTTTTCAAAATACATATCTGATAAAGGACTATTATCTTAAAGATACAAATAACTCTAAAAAACTTAACAATAAGAAAATGAACAACCCAATTTAAAAACAGGCAAAAGACCTAAACAGCATGGTACTGACATAAAAACAGAGGCATAGACCAATGGAACAGAATAGAAAATTCAGAAATAAATCTACATATTTACAGCCAACTAATTTTCAGCAAAGATGCCAAGAACATTCAGTGAAGGAAAGACAGACTGTTTAATAAATGGTGCTGGTTAAACCTGATATTCATATGCAGAAAAATGAAACTAGACCTCTATCTCTCGCCATATCCTAACCAAAATCAGTTAAAAGCTTAAATGTAAGACCTGACGTTATGAAACTACTAAAATAAAACACTGAGGAAACACTTCAGGACACTGGTCTGGGAGATGATTTTTTGGATAAGACCTTGAAAGCAACAAAACCAAAAATTAACAAATGAGATGGTCTCAAGCTAAAAAACTTCTGCATAGCAAAGTAAACAGTCAACAGAGTAAGAATCAACCTTTGTAAATTATCCATCCAGCAAGAGATCAATAACCAGAATAGATAAAGAACTCAAAACAACAGAATAGCAAATAGTCTGACTTTAAAATAGGCAAATGACTTGAATAGACATTTCTCAAAAGAAGACATACAAATGGCCAATGGGCATATGAAAAAAATTATCAACATTACTAATGATCAGGAAAACACAAAACCACAATGAGATATCATCTCACACCTGTTATAATGACTATTATATTATCTCACTACAAAAAGACAATAAACAGCAGATGCTGGTGAGGATGCAGAGAAAGGGGAATGCCAGCACAGTGCTGATGGGAATGTAAATTAGTATAACCACTATGAAGAACAATATGGAGATCCCTCAGAAAACTAGAAATAGATCTACCACATGATCCAGCAATCCTACTGCTGGGTATATATCCAAAAAAAAGGAAATCAGTGTATCAAACAGATATCTGCATATCCATGTTTATTGCAGCACTATTTACAATAGCCAAGATAAGGAATCAACCCGTGTCCATCAACAAATGCATTGGTAAAGAAAATGTGATATACAGGCCAGGCGAGGTGGCTCAAGCCTGTAATTCCAGCACTTTGGGAGGCCGAGGTGGGTGGATCAGGAGGTCAAGAGATCGAGACCATCCTGGTCAGCATGGTGAAACCCCATCTCTACTAAAAATATAAAAAATTAGCTGGGTATGGTGGTGCGTGCCTGTAATCCCAGCTACTCGGGAGGTTGAGGCAGGAGAATTGCCTGAACCCAGGAGGCGGAGGTTGCGGTGAGCCAAGATCGCGCCATTGCACTCCAGCCTGGGTAACAAGAGTGAAACTCCGTCTCAAAAAAAAAAAGAAAGAAAATGTGATATATATATATATATGGAGAGAGAGAGAGAGAGAGACACAGATATAGATAACAGAATACTAGTCAGTCATAAAAAAGAATGAAGTCCTGTCATTTGCAAGAATTTGGATGGAATGGAAGTCATTATGTTAAGTGAAATAAGTCATGCACAGAAAAATGAATATCACATGTTTTTATTCGTATGTGGGAACCAAAAAGGTGAATCTCATGGAGGTAGAGAGTAGAATGCTGGTTACCAGAAGCTGTGAAGGGTAATAGGAGAAGGAAATGAAGAGAGATTGATTAATGGATATAGAATGCAGTTCGATAGAAGTAATAAATTTTATTATTTGATAGTACAGTAGAGACTATAGTTAATAATATATGTAGTTAATAATACAACAGTAATTTGTTGTAGATTCACAATAGCTCAGAGAGAAGATTTGAAATATTCCCAACGCAAAGATACGATAAACATTTGAGGTGACAGATATCATAATTATACTGATTCGATCACTACATCTTATATGCATACCCCCAAAATATCACATGTACTTCATAATTATTATGTGCAATTATTACATATTAATAAAAATGTATCTTCAAGTCAAAGACATATGATCTTATCCACTTACATACTTGATCCATACATTTATTGCAGATACAACTTCCATGGTTCTTTAGAACAACCAGGAGGGAACCAAGAATTTTCCCTTGGCAGATATGAAAGCGATTGTAAGACAAGTGCACGAGTGAAGTCTACAAAGGACGATGAAGGAGCCTAGTGCATGGTTGTTAGAAAGTGAATGCAATCAATGGAGACAGCATAATTAGAGGGCAACTAAACAGAGGAAATTTGATGCACCTGGATTAGACATAGCATAACTTCTCTTAGATATAATATTTTGGCTAAATTTGTGCATGTGAGTTTGCACACTGAAACATTTATCTGTTGAAAGAGCCTAGAAACCTGATTCAGGAAGCGTAAATTTTTTAAAGCAAAGTTGATAGCTATCAGGACATCCTAGTCTAAGGCCAAGCACCTTCACAACTACAATAGCCTCCTAACTTTCCTACCTGCATCCACTTTTGAGTCCTTAAATCTATTCTGCATGCTTTTCTAAATACAAATGCACACACATTAAAGGGTTTAGACATCTGCATGATTTTCTATTGCTCTTAAGAAAAATTCAAAACTCCTTCGTGTGACTCTGTCTGGACCAACTCTAGCCTCGTCTCACCGCAAGATGGCGATGTTGGTGCCAGACTCTTAAATTCTTTCAGTTCCTTCTATGTGCCATGCTCCCACTTATTGGTGGTGTCTCTGCCTGGTGTTCCACTTACCACTTCATTTGGTAAGCTCCTCTTCATCCTTCAGTTGCCAATTCAATGGTCACTTTCTCAGGGAAGTCTTTCCCAGCCTCCCTGACACACACGGATAGCACCATGCAAGTTTTCTGTACACACACGTACAGCGCCATGTCTCTCTTCTTCACGGCAGTTAACACAGTTAAAATTTTTTCACTTATTTGTGTGATTATTTGATCAATGCTTTATCTGCTCCTTCCCATACACAAAACAAAACT